GAATATATGATATATTATGCATATATGAAAAAAAGATTCTAAATCAATTGAAACCTGAAAATAATGAAGATTGGAAACTTTATTTGTTGAGTGATAAAGTGAACATGAAAGATTGATTGATTTATCATTGATAAAAAAATTTGATGAAATTAGAAATACAATTTCAAGACTTAAGAAGAAGAAGCATAAGAGATGTGAATGTGGAATCAGATAATATTAATAAATAAAAGAAAAAATAAAAACCAAATGGTTATAGTATAAAGGATGAGATTATAAAATTTGAATGATTAATTGTATTTTAATTTGTTATTTTTATTTTATTTGAACAAAGAAGTTCTATATGGTACTTGCTTGAATGTGAGTACTAGGTGGAACATGATTTTTATAAATATATGATAATAAATATTAGAAAGATAATGACACTTTTATTTTTAGAAAAATTTTCATTTGGTGAAGTTGTTTTTTTTATTTTTAACTTATATTTTTGTCAATGAATTGACAACTTTGATGTTATGATATGTTTATTTATTCAAGAAAAAGAAAAATTCTAAGATTATTATTTTGACAAGTACAGTATAATAGAAGTTGAAAAAACAACTTATGCTAATGGATTGAAGAATTAACTCAAATCTGAAGGGAAAAGGGTCTATCTTTTTGAGAAGATATCTTTGAGATTGATTAAGGAATTTGATTTGTTTCTTTGTGATCCTGAAAATTTTTATTTTTCTTTTAACATATGATCTTGAAAGCATATAAAAATCAATACCAGAATTGAAGATAATAAAATTATATGATTATATCATTCTTGATCAAACTCATCTGAATACAATTGTGTTCACTCAATTGACAGTGGATGATAATGATTTAGTTAAATACTTGGAAGATTGTAAGAGGATGATTTTGTTTTTATTTCCTATAAACAAAGTGATATTTTTGAAACATAGGGTCGATGTGATGATTAGTCATTGCATAAAATGTGATTGTAAATCTGACAGTGATCAAAAAGATTATTTGATTAGTATGTACAACAAGTATAAAGAATTGATGCCTGAATTGTATTTGAGTTATGAGAATGAAGAGATTGATAATAGTTAGCATATTTATTATATTTTAATGTTTAGAAAAATCATTATTACAAATTTAAATTTTAATTAAATAAATAAATAATTTCATCTATTATCTCATAAGATACTGAGTAAAAGTTGATTTTTATAAATATGAATGATTTTCTTGAACATGACAATTTTATTGTTTTTGAAGATTATTTGAATGGTTTTATTTTTTTGTTGATTGATGTTGAGGATGGTTTGGAATATAAGACAATGAGATATATGTTAAGACTTCATGGTATCATAAGAAATAGTAAAAAGTTGAGAGTCGATGTGAGTGGAATTCAATGTTCTTTGATATCATGGTTCAAAAATATAATGTAAAAGAGATATTGATGAATGTGTGTGTTTATGAGGAACACAAGTTTATCAAAAGATATTATTTTAAGGGATTTAGTAAGAAACCCGAATAATTTGTGAGTGCATATTTTTTGAATTATTATAATCGAAAGAAGATATTAAAGTATGTGAAGAATATATACTTAACATATTCTAATGACATAACATTTTATTATAGAAAAGTGGTACATGAGAATAAGATTAATCTGATACAATAGAATTGGATCAATATAAACTTGATATATGTTCATAATAGTATATAATATTATCGAAAGGTGATTGAATCAGATAAAATTGAGTGAAAATCCACATGATGAACAGAAGATAATAATTATAACTTGGGATATTGAAACATATAGTGGACAAGAAGTGAATAATATTTCTGATGTGCAGTATAATTAGAATGAAGTTTTTATAATATGTTGTATAATGCATTGGAAGGATTCAGTTGAACTGATATTTAAGATATATTTGATTATAGAGGAATCAAATAAGGATGAGAGGTGGATATTGTGAGTGTTGAGAGATCAAAAATTGATAATTTTGAATTTAGTATATTGTGTATCTCATTTGTATCTAAATGTGATGATTGAATTTAATGATATGGAATGTGATTGGCCATTCATTTTGAAGTTCATATAAAAAGTTTGATATATTTGAGAATTTTATGAACATGATATTGGAAAGAAAAGTTATGAAGGAAATAAGTATAATGATAAATTATATCAAATTTGATAAGAGCAAGAAGAAAAACTGAGAAATATGCTTAATTCAAATATGAACAATGCAAAAATCAAAATTAATTTAGATAAGACTGTAAAGAGTGTGTATTTTAGGAGACTCTAGATGCTTGTAATTGATACTTAAATTGCACTTTAAAAGATATATCTGATATTATCTCAGAGTTCACTCAAGTATTTTTTAAATTTGTTGGGATTGGAGTCCAAGGTAAATCTGTCATATAATAAGATAAAATGTTATTATAAGAATGTAAAGTTTCAATGGATATCTAAATCATAATCATAAGATCAGATACATGAGATTACAAAATACTATATAGTGAATACATGTTGATATCAAGAGTTGATGGTCAAGATGAATGTGATCAATTTATATTAGTTGTTGTCAAGTGTTTCATATATTTTGTTACATAATTTGTACTACTATGTGATTGATGTTAAGATTCAAAATTTGATAGTATGACAGCAAATAATGCAAGGATATTAATCAATTGCATGAAGAATGAGAACATGGAGAAAGATAAATACCTGTGTGCATATGTGTTTTCTCCAAAAAAAAAGATTGAAGAATGATTGACTGGTGACAGATTGGATTTTGCATCATTGTATCTGAGTTTGATAATAATATATAATTTATTTCTCAAGAAGATCATTATCTTAGGAGAAGATTATTTGAGATATAGGTCAAAATATGATTTCCATGAAATTAATTTTGAGTTTAATGAAAGAAATGTGCATGTATGATTAGTAAGACAGGGTAGCAATAATGAGAATAATAGAATATTTGTATCAATCTTGAAAAATTTGATAAAGATATATGATATAAAAAAAAAGAAATTGAATTAATTGAAGAGACAAATTGAATTAAATCAATTAAAAGGTATTCAAGATATAAAATTATAATTTGAACATAATCATCTAAACTTGAAACAGAACATGAATAATGTTTATATGAATAGCTTTTATGAAGGAATAGGGAATCAGTCATTACCATTATTTATAAGAGAGCTGACAGGTGCCATGACAACTGCAGGACAATATAACATTAAACTAGTGTTAGAATTTGTGAAGGAGTTGAGATTTTCAATTAAGTATGGGAATACTGATTCTCTATATTTGATGTGTTTAGATGAATGCTATGTAGAATGTGATCAAAAATATTTAGATGAAAAGATGTGTAAGGAGAAATATTAAAGTGAGATAGTAAAAATCAGGATGGATGTAATGAATGATTTGAAGGATCAAATAAATAAATATTTGATAAAAAATAATGGCACATTATATTTGAGAATGGTATATAAGTAAGTTTAGTATCTAGTGATGTTTTTGAAAAAGAAGAAATATTATGAAATTTTAAATATTAACATACCTAATTTTTATTTCAAGAAATTATTTGTGAAGGATATGGATATAGTAAAGAGGGAATGATCAGAATTTTTTCATAATTTTTTTATCAAGATCATGTGAAAAATTGTAGGCAAGAATAATAAGAGAGATATGTGCAAATTAATTAAAAAGTCAATATATGAGAGCATAATAAAGAAATACAATTTTAAGATATTAATATCTTTAATATTATATAAACCAAATAAGAAAAATTTGATGAATCATTTTGTGAAGAGAATGTTGAAGAAGAATATTAAGATTGAATCTGAAAAATGATATTAATATCTTGTAATCAAGAAACCATGTGACAAAATTAATGAAAAGACCATTTTATTGGATCGATTTGATAACAATATTCATAAATTGGATATGATAGATTATTTCAAGAGTTTGATTGGTATGTGTACAAGATTTATTAATTATCATTGTGATTTTCAATTGGATGACATGATGGAAATGAATGACAATGAGAAATTTGAAAAGATGGATGAAGAATCTCAAAATATTGCAGAAAATACTTGAATAAATTTATTAAAATGTTGGATAACAATAAGTAATACAATACTTGTGTATTTGATAAATTTAATATTTTGAAATTGAAAAAAATTGATATATGATTTAAAAGTAAGAAATGAAAATATAAATTTGATGATTCACAAGTGCAAAAGAAATTGATAGATTATTTTGAATAAATTATTATATAATCATAAATATCAAATAAAATATATAAATTATATGATTTTCTTTAAAAAATAAATATTTAAAATGATTCCTATTATAAAGTGAATGAAAGGTTAAAAAACTTATTGTGAAATTAAAAATCAGATTTTTATTGTTTATAAAAAGATGAAGTATATCTTAAGATCCAATTGACACAAAATTAAAGATAATTTGTAATATTAAAAATTATAAACTTTAAAGAATTCTATATAATTTGTATTAAAACAAGAGAATACTTTTTATATAATTAGAAATCAAAGACTATATTACTTCTATCAATTGGTTAAATCTGAATATAAATTTATTGATTATGTGAATAATAATGGATTAGATAATCATAAATTTAACTTATAAGATAAGTTGAATAGATTAAATCAAAGAAATCGTAAATTATATAAAAATAATAATTTTAAGTATATGATATATGTATCTTATTATAAAAGTAAAAAAAAAGTTTAAATATTTAGTTGGTATGAAAATAAAAAACTAAAACAAAAATGTTTTTACAAAAAATAACAAGTTATCAAGTATAAGAATATGGTTTTTTAATTGTTGATAAATTTTGAATATTTTAATTTATAAAAAAGTATTCAGTTTATTTTAATAAATTATTAAAAAAATTAATCAATTTATGTATATGTTAAACTAAATATTTGTTTATATGTAATTTTTTTTCAGTAAATAATTTGTTGTATAAGGAATTTTATCAAGTCTTAACAATTGAATAACTTTTTTATATCCAATTAATTATTAATAATCATTGTTAATATTAATTAATTAAAAAGTAATAGTTCAACAATAATTTTGTTTTTTTAAAAATATAAAATATATAAATTAGAAGTGTATCTTTGAGTTATCAAGATTTAAAAATCTAAGTTTTCATAATTTCATTATATTTATAATAATAATGACTTATTCAAAATTTTATTATTATTAATATAAAAATAAGATTATTTTTTATTAAGTTTATTAATTATTATTTATTTTAAGAAAATAATATAATAATAGTAATTTTTATAGTCTTATTATTAGAAATTGAAAAACTTGTAAATCAATAGTACTGTAGATATACTCTTAGGTCATCATCTATGGTTACTGATTCAATCCTACTTAAGAATAGTCCTTATAATATAGGTTACAGTATATAAGCTATATGTTTATCAGTTATATGTATACTTATATATAAATAATCTATTAAACTCTATCATCTAATAATAGTATTATAAATTAGGTCATACAAGTTCTAGTCAGTTTTAACACTAGGAAAAAAAGCTCAAGAATGTTAAAAAAAATAATAATTGATTCAAGATCCTATTGGCATTATCTAGAATCCACTTTTTCTCAAATACTCAAGTCTTATGGAAGGTTTAGTAGATTTTAGAAACATGTATTAGTTACAAATATAATGTCTGAACACATATTGAAAGATCTGATATTGCTATTATCTATAACTATCAGAGATTTGATTTTGTTAGTAACTAACAATTAATGATGAAATTGAATAGTAATGATGGGATACCTGTAGGAATTAATACATTTGGAAGAGATTAAAAAGTCTTAATGTAATAATCAAGAAAAGCTCTTATAAGAACATATTTGAAAAGTGGTTAAAAATGGTTAATGGAAGACTTTGATCATCAATCTAATTCACCAATAGTTTTTGGAAGACTTACCTGAAATTATATAAAAATTGAAAATATTAATGGACAACTAGTTTCTGAGATTAAACAAGATATAAATATTAATTAAGATTTGAGTACACCCTATGTAAGATAGACCTCTATGAAGTGACACATCAAAAATAGCTTCTTGAATAAATAGAAGTCTCCTGGTGAATTCCCAGAACACTAGGTAATCTAGACATGCAAGATAACTGATAGAATGATATTCTCAATGTGTAAAATTGAGAAATTTGAGATAGGTTAGAATAGTACAGGTTTTGTAAAATAACTTGTACATACCACATAATCTGATCAATAAAACCTAGTCAGTATGACTAGTTAAAAAAAAGATTGAAAAATTTTTATCAAGAGAGTATAATAATTTTTGGAAACTTTTATATTATATAAGGTTGAATAGTTGTGAATTATTAATATTAAATGTAATTAAATTTGTCATGTTTATTCACAATCACTTTCAGTTCAAATAAATTGACTTCTAATAATTTTACTATAATGAAAGTATTATTTTTAATTATCACATGTTTACAGGCAAGCTAATATTGATTAGATTTGAGATTGTTGATTATATTTTATATAAGATACCATATTCTGTTTTATTATTCAATATAATTTGACAAGTTGCAGTTGCACTGTTTTTATCTTTTTGAAAATAGCCCCAGATTAAACTTTTAGATCAACCTTTGTAGTTATGCTTTGACTAATTTCTTCATAATATAATTCTTCCTGTTCATTGTCACTATTATTTTGTACCATATTTGTATTATGAATTTTTTAAAATGTTAAAATTTATTTTATTAAAATTCACGATGATGATAATTATTTAATAATTACATAATTATAAAACGTAATTATTACGCTGTAATTAACTTATGAGTTACTCGCAAAATTTCATAATTCGAATTGTGATAAACTCGAATTACTCGAATTACGAGTTGACAAGTCCAGTCACTAGGTTGACTTATTATTTAATAATACAACAACTTATGTGTTTAATGGATAACCCAGTTACATACTCCTTAAGTTGTATTCCACTCATCAATTCGAGGAAATCGAGTTCCCCGTAAATGTAGCGGAGTGAATACAAAAATATAAGGTAAGAGCGAGTCGAGAGTATTGATTTTATCTTTATCCTTGATGATTTTGCTCTGGAATTTTGAAATGGACACCTTAGAACATTTGGCGGAAAATTGATAGCATATACATGTATATAGGAATAAAAACTTTTGTGTGGAATTGATTTATTTACTTTTGAAGTAGAAGTACATTAACGTCTTTTATTTCCATTTTATAAAATAATAAAATTTTATATTTTGTAGAATTTAAGTTTCTGATAAGGAAATTAACTATATTCGAGAAAATAAAGGGAAGTTACCTTATACAACAATATCAAAAACCTAAAAAAAGGGCTTAAGATATGTACGCGGGATTTTTGTTCTTTTTTCACAATCGTCTATATCAGAAAATTCACGTTTATTTCGTTCTTCCATGATAATTCTAGCACGTACTTCTCCAATGAAATTTTTTCCAGTCAGCTGAGTGTAAGTCGCTTCATTAAGATTTGGTAGTTCCATAGCATAATTATAGCATCTCCCAGCAAAAGATCCGAAATATTCTTCCCAGTTTTCTTTACTAACGATTGCAGACATTGGCTGATGAGGTTCAAGTTTTTCGGAGGAAGTTGATGTGTAAAGAATGAAAGTATCCCCTGGACTCGTTGCTTTTTCATGCTCATCTTTAAATCTTTCCTGAGAAATTATTTGTTTCACCAACTTGCATTGATGTGTCTCCGTTTGTAGCAGTCCGGTCCCTACCATTTCAATCGAACAAAAGCTATCTCCAGATTCAGCACTAGGTGCATTGATTATAATATGTCTTGCTTCTGTAACGTCGACTTCTCCATCCTGACACAAAATTTTTACATCTTGCTTATAATTTCCAGACTTGGTGCTGACCCTTTTAACTGATTGTTCCAATGTAAGTTCTCGATTGTATATGGAACTATCACCAAAATTATGCTTGGCACCATTATGAATGACTCTGAGTTCAACTTGTACATCATCACCATAGATATTCGATTTTAGGGAGCGAAATTGAGCAACAAAGTACTCAAAATTTTGCCAGTATTGGCAACCGGGTGGTATACTTGGGCTCCCTGCTTTATTGCGTACTTCATTGTAATAGTTAAAATCCCAGTTCCGTAAAAGTTTATCATTTCGCGACGCATCCGCCATTATCCATAGCCAAATATATGGACATGTGAGATATCCAACCACCTGATCCGTTCTTAGACTCTCAAATCGAACAAGACCAAACTGAGTTACGTCATCTACTGTTATTCCTTTCCCCTCAAATGTAGCAATATTTAGATTTTTGTCAACTTGTGTACGTGAAAGAACAATGCGAAGGACCGGTTTCAAATAAATGGTTTTAACTTAACCATCTCTGATATTTCTTGCCGAGATTTGATCGTACATCATTTATTAGATCAATAAAATGAATATTGTCCAAATCTTTCCCATTAACAGACTCTTCTAAAGCCTCCAACGCACGCCCATGACCACCCATATCGTTTATGAGCATTTTCATGACTGGTTTATCGACAAAGACTGGGTTACCATTTATTCTCGGAGGTTGTAATGATGTCACTGGGAGAAAAACTCCCAATTGATGTGAACTGGCAAGGAAATTGTGAATGGGCATACTAATAGTAGCCGTACAACAGGTAATAATAAATGGACCAAGAAGTGAAAGTATAACAAGTGTAGAGATACAATCGTGAAAAAAGGATTCATTGTCCGTTCCATCCATATGTTTTCTCATTGCTACATGTATACCATCTAAAATAACAATCACATTCAGATCATTGTATTTCTGATTGTAATGTTTGGCAATTCTACGCAATACATCTCCTGGTGTTACATTATATCGATTCCTAAAATCATACCAAGATTCACCGGGCTGTTTTAACAACTGAAAGAGCATTCGATTACCAATTGCATAATCGCTATTGGTTTCAAATAGTTTGGTCCCATTGTCAAATACTAGATTAAATACAAGAGCAGACCTAAGTCGATTCTGTATGTCAACATCATTTGTACATTCAATTAGCAATTTCGGCAATTCTTGTGCAGTGCGAGATTTTCCTTCTCCAGCTCCTGCTAGAATGAAGTATTGTGGTATTCTCGTTTTATCACGTTGTCCAGCTTTCCAAAATTTGAAATGATCACGAATAGCATCCTTAAGTTCTTGTTTCAAAGCTTCTGAGGCGTGAAAGTCCCAAGAGGAACCATTACCCGTGACAAGAGGTTGGGGATCACGATATTTTAATGTTTCAGGCAGGGTTCGTGCTGGAAAAAGAAAGAAATCAGATATTTTATTACTGCAAATTTCTTGTTCGAGAGTTAAGACACCTACCAGTGGTGACAGGCAGTTGTACGATAATTCGGATGCTAGTACTAGTGGGTATCGGACAAAAATATGAGAATGCCAACGTATCTAAGAATGCAATACTAGAGATATTACCAGAGGCATCTACTGATAATGATTCCATAGTAGACCAGCTCGAGCAACGTGCACCCTGTTTGTAAAGCAAATGATGTGATATCAGAAATGTTATCAGAGGTCAACTTCAAGTCACTGGAGGAGAGAGAGATGTATAAATTCTTAAATGATATACATAAGAAAAGCAATAATGATAAAATAAGGCAACACAATAATGAATAGAAGATTCAAGCCCAAAACTTTACATCATATGATAAAGATAATACATCATGTGATATAAAAACCGTTTCCCAGGGAAACAATCGTGATAATATTAAAAGTAGTTGAGATATTGCTTTCCAAATAAGCAGTCAGCAAGAAACTATTATGAATACGTACTTCTTTACCGGCAGAAGATCTTGACTATTCGATGAAATTGAGCTTACTAAAAATCAAATATAGAACTAGATTTAATATAAGATTTATGGAATGGTATGCTTATAACTATACCTGATCTTATAGAAATACCTTCCAGAGACATCGTGAATATTGAAAAATTACCATCTAAAATCATGACACAAAGCTTAATCAATTTGTTTAAAAATTTATAAGATCTAGACATGAAGAAATTTTATCCTAACTACAGGAACCCAAATATACGGAAATATTAAAGTATTTACCAGGTATTACATCAGTTGCCTTGTGAATTAAGGCTCTTAGGGCCAGAAAAATCGTTGGAATTGATAAGGTTAAGTATGTTACTTCTGGTGCAAATAATATTTCAAAATTAATCAATCGTTTTTCAGGGAAATGATTAAAACATGTGATCTCAACTGAGGATCTCAAATACACTGACTCAAAAAATTGTCCCAATAATTAAAACTTTTTTGTTTATAGCGTATATCTTTTGAGCGACTGATT